TTCTCTTAAAAATAAATAAATTACCTCCAAATTTTGTTTAGCATATTCTAATGCCTCTTGCTCATTTTTAAATTTAACATAAAAAGGTAATGCAATTTGTGCACCTGTTGGACTAGCCAAAGTTCCAATTCTAATTGAATCAAAACTTTCTAAGAAAAATAATAAAAATTGAAATTATAATTCACATCAAGAGGATAGAGGGGTATTTGTTTTATTAGGAAAATCCCTGAGAAACGGGATATGTTATTCTATACACAATGCCTTTTATTTTCGGCAGAAATGCAAAATCCCTATAAAATTGCCGATAGTCATTGTTAGCAAGGGCAAATCCAAGGAAGCCAAAATTTCGGTGCACACTCCATGTTAGCTCCCTCCGAAATCAACCCCTGGCTACGGCCTTGATTGTTAGAATCCTAGAAAAGAGAAAACTTCAGAAAGCGTTAGATTTTCCACAGGTTCCTTTTCCCCGCTTCCCTTTTTAAACTAGGTAAATTCAATTCAAAGTCCCTCAGAAGTTCTCTCTAATACCCCAATCCCGCTTTTTTAATTTCTCTTATCAGACAGTCAAAAGTTAAGAAAATTTTAAAAAATAGGTAAATTATTATCCAAATAAAATTAAATAAAAATTACTTTTAGCATCAAGTTGACATGTAAAGGAAAAGAAAGTATCACTTTCACCTCTCCCTTCTTTTTCTAACCAAAAGAAAGATTGCTGAAAAAAGAAATTTATATTTAAATTTTTTAATTAAAAAGTTAATAACTTGTTCAATCGTCTTTTTTAATCGGTCAGGAAGTCTTAAAAATATTTAAAAATATTAGAAAATTAATAAATTTAAAATCCAAAAAACCACCACTACACCCCTACAGAACTGAAAATTTTTTTAAAAGAGAATCTCTCCTCCTCCCCTCCCACTAAATTTCTGTCCATAAATTAAACAAATTTGCTAAATTTTCAATTAAGAATTTTTAATTATGCCAAATTATTTTTAAATATAAATTTATTTACTCACTCATTGCTAACTTTGTACCTCCAGGGAAATAAAGCGCTGAGTAATGGACCAGACATAAGGAGATTTGCAATGGGATAAGCTTAAAAAAATTTTTTAACTGGAAGAATTTAGTTCTAAAAAATAATTTTTGTAGATAAATCGTTTCGAAAAGAATGAGTTTAAATATCTTATAACTGATCTCAATGAAAAAAAGTTCTAATTAAGAAATCGTGTCAAATTTTTTAATTACAGGCTAGTGACCGATACATGTCCCTTTCTAAATTTACATCAAATTTTGGAAGGCCACAACTTTCCAAAGATTCTTTAAAAATATAAAAAACAAACCTGCAGTCACTACTCCAATAACACCAACACGAAATAATGCCCCTTTCTTTGTAGCTAAAAAGCTGTCTGCTTTGCTTTTTGTTAACCTAAAAATTATTTTTTTTAAATTTTAATTTAAAAAATAAACCAAAATCTTTGATAAAATTCATCAATATCCATTTTTTGTTTAAACATTTTTGAAAATTATTTGAGAATCTAAAAGTTATTAATGTTTTGATTTTTGGGAGTAAATCAAATTTAAAAAATATATTTTAAAGAGTGAAGAGAAATTCTCAAAAAAATTGCAATTTACAGATGCCTTACATTCGAAAATGCTCTGAAAATGAGTCAAATAAATAAAATAAAAAAACAATTTCTGAAAAATGTTTTAGTATAAAATCAAAAACTTTAGAAAAAAACAAATTTATTCAAACAGAAAATATTCAAATCCTAATTTTATTATCTAATTTAATTCTTTCCAATCTGTCAACATAAGTAGCTGAATGACCCAAATAATTTCCATTTTCATCAAAATCAGATTTCCCTTTTGTTAATTTATTGAGTAATTTGCATAATTCGATACTGCTTTTTAAATAATCACTAAAAGTTAAAAAATAAATTTGTAATTTAAATAAAAAAACAAACATGCATCCATTTTTGTGATCCTCATCTCTAAAATTTAAAAAAATAAGAGGAAAATTAAAAAGTATTTAAAAATTAGTCAGCGATCTAGTCAGCGATAGGAAAGAACAATAAAGAACAAGAAACAAAACAGCAAAATTTGCAGCAGCCGATGTGTGGCTAGATGGCCGAACAGATTAGATTAGGTCGCAGTTTGGAGAGGAGTCCTTAATCGAAGGACCATCCAAATTTTTCATAAAGGGTTTATGGCCTCCTAGACCTCCCCCCCCCCGCATTTTAAACTCAATCATGAAAATTCAAAAAAAATTTTTAAGGTCATAAAAATGGTTTTTCAAACAAAAAATAGTCTCACTAAATATTTTATTCTTTCCCCAATTTTAATTAAAAAATATTCAAAAACAAACATTTTAGCAGCTTCAAAATCTAAATCAAAAGTTTCATCTCTGTAATACATTTTCACAGATAAATACAATAATAAAATGCTTAAAACCAAAGAAGGAATAAAAGCTAGCCAATCATTGTGTTTTTGTGATCTTAAATAATAACAAAGTGCAAAACCTGGCATAAAAGCAACAATTGAAACAAAAAGCGGAAGTAAAAATTTTGAACTGAAAAAATTTTTTTTAATTAAAAAAATTAATTTAAAAATAAGGATTGAAAGGGAAAGGCTCGCCAGTACATGAGTGACAAAATCAAGAGGGAATTTTGGGGAGCTAGACTAATGAAAACCCCCAAGCTTAGATCATTAAACAGTCATTAAACATCAATCTAAAAATTCCGAATACGCCCATGAATGGAATCACTCGTTAAAATATCCAGCTAGACGTAGATCCCTAATCAAAAACAAAACCTAGAAGCATATATAAGTTCTCTGGCAATTACAAATTTTTTAGCGTTTTTAGTCAACAAAATAGTTTTGAGATCAGAATCAGTCAAAGTTGAAGAATCTAATGCATCCAATTTATCCAGTCCACTAAAATTTTAAATGGATATTTTTTGGAATATTTGCTACAGAATTTTAAAAATTCATGAGAATATAAAATTATTGAATTTTTTAATTTAATTAAAAATTTAAGAAAATTTTTCCAATTCCAATTAACAGCTATTTAAGAGGATAGGAAATAAAAAGAATTAAACAATTTTAACGATTTAGAAATTCTATTTCATCTAACGCACAATTAATGAGACTCAAATTAGGTAAATTTTCTCAAGAAAATTTTCTATGTCAAAAAACCCCCTCCCTGCATTAACAATAAATTATTTTAAAAATTAAAAAAAAAACTTTTCTTTAAAAAGCCTGAAGAAATTTGGATAATTTTTGCGTATTTGTTCTACATTATTAAGTACCAATCTATTTGAGAAACGTAAAAGAGCATTATATCTATGTTGAAAACATCCATGAGTTTTTGATTCAATATTGTCGCTAACCATTATTTTAAACTAAAAAATTTTTTAAAATTATTTTTAGACCAACAACAGAAAAATATTAATTAATAAAATGCTTATTGTTAGTTTTGCTTTACAGAAAAGTGTTAAATTTTCGAGTCTCACCAGTAAAAATTTTATTTTAATTTCAAATTATTTTTTCTAAAAATTGCTCTATTCGTTAAGTTTTGTATTTTAAACAATTTTCTGACAAAAATGTTAATTAAATATGCTCCACTTTTCCTATGGTTCACAATCTCTCCTTTTTGTATTAAAAAAGGAAAATTAAGAAGCAAATAAAAAGTGTAAATAACCGGCTCAAAATTAACGGAATATTATAGAAAGAAATAAAAATATAAAAAAATTGGTAAAAAATCTTCAAATAATTTTCTTGAAGATTTTTTTGACATTTTTAATTCTTCAATTAACTATGAATGTCTTAGAATTTTTTGTATTTAAAAATAAAAGCTAAAATTTAAAAAAAATAAAAAATAAACAAACATTAGTGTTTGCATCTGCATATAATCTATCTTTTGTAATTGCAAAAAGTTCGTTATCAATAGCTATCATTAAATCATCATCTATTGCATTTGGCAAATCTGTATGTGTAATAGTTAATTTTTGAATAGCTGGGTATCCATGAGCATCTTTAAAAAATAAATTTAAAAAACAAAAAATTAAAGAAACCTTTCAGAAAAAAATATCCCGAAGTAATAAATAATCCACCAGTAAGTGTGTCGTATGTCCAATGTGTTCTAAATAAATGCCTTATTCCAATCATTATTAATAATTTCTAAATAAAAATATTTACAAAATAAATCAGCGTTAAAATAAAAAATAGCCGGCACAAATTTTAAAAAAATAAATAAAAATTCAGAATCACAATCACACTTCTTGATTTACTTAACAACGTAAAGCAAGAATTAGCCTAACTCGAAAACGAAAACCGAAAAAATAGCTTGCGGCAATCCGGCCGCGATAAGATGTTGGCGACAAAGTAGACCTTACCTAATTTAATCGGTTAAGGACGATTCAGTATCGCCGATTCAGTATAGCCGATTCAGTATCCGCCGATTCAGTATATGGCTATAACTTTCCTGATATTCGACCGATTCGAATAATTCTCATATCATTCGAAAGGTCTCGTGATTCGACATCTTTTTCATAATTGGCCCGATCAGATCTGATGATCACAAAAAAAGTTACAGCTTGAAAACCGATTTTTTATGCCTGTGACGTTGTTTATCAGTGATAACTTTTTGTAGAGTGATTTGATCAGATCAGTCCAATTATGAAAAAGATGCAGCACCCCGAGGCCTATCAAATCATATATAATAATTCCTACAATATTGATCGAGCAAAAAGTTATGGCCAAAAAGCCCAAATACTGAATCGGCCAATACTGAATCGGCGATACTGAATTGGCGATACTGAATTGGCGATACTGAATCGGCGATACTGAATCGTCCCCTACCTTAATTTAATTAAGTAAAACTTCAAATTGGTAACTGCCCTAAAAAGTTCATTTGATCAATTTTGTTTTAATTTACACGTTTTTAATTTTTTTGTTTCAAAATTAGATAGTTAAATTTAGCATTGTTCAACATTTTATTTAATCAATTATGGAGGACCTTCAACGAAAAGCAAGATTATTGGAAAATGAAATTGATATGCGTCTTATATCTCTTAATAAATTTCATATTTCTAATGCAGGTTTGCTAAATTTATTTTTTTGGAAATAACTCTTGTAAACGAGGTTAAAGGCTCTCATTTTTTTATTTTTCTGTGAATTACAAAAATTTTTTTATCCAAAATTTTCATTTAAACTCAACAAATTAAAATTTGTTTTAATTTAGGTCAAACAGATATTCAAAGCAAATCCCATTCAAGACGTTCTTTTGACTCGCTTACGAGTGAAATTGAATCAAAATTGTCAAAATTAAGTGAAATTAATTTTCAGGTTTTTTTAAATATTTTTAGAAAAAAAATTAATTTTACTAATTTAGATGCAAGAATGTTTTGATAAAGATAAAAGTGTTTTTAACAAAACACCTCAACAACACATTCTTAGAAGGCATCAAGATATTCTTAGAGATTATAGTGCAGAGTTTCGAAGAACGCATGAAAATATTAAAAATCAATTACAAAGGTTTTCTTTAAATTTAGAAACATTCTTGCAAGGAAAGGTCGCGAGGTGTTCGACCTAAAAACGGTCGAGACCGGGCTCATTCGATAGAGAATGTGCCCTTTCTAGCAAGGATCCCCCGGTCTCGACCGTTTTTAGTAGGTCACCTCGCAACCTTTCCTTGTTAGTCGCTTTAAGACAAAATGATTTCTTTAGAATTTTTTAATCAAAGTTATACTTTTAATTGGAATTTTTTCGATGTTCTAAAAAAACTTTGTTTTGTATTTTATTAGAATTTTATTTATCTTACTAATTTTATTATTTTTTAAGAGATGAATTAATGGAAATGACGTCAACTGTAAATAATCGTTGTAGAACTACAGATTATTTAACTAGAGAAAATGAAAGTATTAGCGAGTTTGTTTCTTTTAATTCTTTTAAATTAATTTTATTTTAGTTGTGATCGTCTTTTAAATGATCAAATAAGTATTGCTATGTCTGTGAGAGAAGGGCTTTATTCACAAAGTAGTGGACTTGGGGCTATTAATAAACGTGTTCATCAATTGACTAGTTTGTTTTTATTTTTTAGTGTTAATCCTTGGAGTCATTGGGGTTTGGGGAGGGTCTGAATTTTTTAATTATTGTTTTGCCGGGCAGATTTTCTTGAACAAAACGGGGCGATTTTTTTCCTTTCAAAGAAAAATCAATTATTTCATTCAGTCCTTTCAGGAATAATAAAAAAAATTTTATTATTCCTGGACGGGGGAAGATAGAAGTACAAAATTCAGAAACCCCTAAAAAGGGATTGGGAAGCGAGATTTTATATTTGTTTATAAAATAGTTGGTAGTTAGACTTGAACTCTCTTTCCTAATTTAATTTTAAATTTCGTTTTAAATTTACATTTTTTTCTTTTAAAGAGAAATATCCAGCACTTAATAATTTGATGAACAAAATTCGAATGAAAAAACGCAAGGATACTTTAATTTTGGCGGCAGTTATTTCTAGTTGTCTTATATTTATTTTCATTTATCTTATGCATTGAATTGATGTGAATGAATATTTTGTAGTGGTAATTTTTTAAATTAATTGTACTCTTTTAATTTAAATAATTCAATATTTTTTGAGTTTAATAACTTTCTGATATCTTAAAATTAAAAAAAATATTTCAAATTGAAAGAGTACACAACTAAACTTTGATTTGTAAAAATTCTTTTAGAAAATGTAAATACAAATATATTGTTTAATATTTAAAAAGGGTTAAAAGATTCTTTAATTCCGCTAATTTTTTTATTTGGAAATTCCTTTCATTTTATTCCAAAACTAAAAATATTTTTTAAATTAAATTTTTAACAAATTAAATATATATTTTAAATTTTCCTCTTTTTTTTTAAACTTCATCGTTGTTCTTCTCCCTCTTGGTCTTCTAAAAAAATTTTATTAACGAAATATATTCAAATAATTAGTAAATATCCTAATTCTCTATTAGAAGCCCTAATTCTCTATTATCCTAATTCTCTATTATACTAATAATAGAGAATATCCTAATTCTCTATTATTAGTGGGCTTCTAGCCCGATTGCTAGAAGCCCACTAAATGAACCTCATTGAAAATAACCGACCGGGGCTTCTATTAGAATATTTTTGATAATTATATTTCAAATTTTTATTTCAAAAATTCCAACCATAACTTTCCTCTGCAGTTGTAGTAGTAGTTGTTGTTGGTGTTGTAGTTGTTGAGCCTTTCCTACGTTTTTTCTTTTGTTTTTTAGTTGAAATTTGTTCTTTATTTGTTTCTACCGTTGTTGTAGAATTTAAAATATTTGTTGTCATTTCAGTTGTTTGTAAATTAATAATTGTTGTTGTATTGCCTAATAATTGTTGTTGTTGTTGTGTGGATGTTGTTTGGATGTTTAAATTTGTTGTTGTTTCATTTTTATCTCTAACGACAACATTTTCTTCAATTATTTTATTGTTTTGTTTCTCTTCCACAAGTTGAGAATTATTTGTTGTTGTTGTTGGCTGTCTATTAAGTGTCTCATTTTCATTCATCTTTACAACATTGTTTTCAATTGTTGTTGTTGTTGCATTTTCTAAAACATTAGCAAAAACATTGGTTGTTTGGTTTGTTTGTTGTTCAACTTGTTTTTGTTTTTCTTTTGTTTTTCCCTCTTCTCCAATGTTTTCAATTTCTTCTTCTTCTTGAGAGTTTGACGAATCTGTTGGTGTTTTTGTATTTATTAAATCAGAATTTGTTGTAATTTCTGATGTTTTTGTTGATGTTTTAGTTTCTTCTGTTGCTACTTTTGGTTGTTCGGGAGGTATTGTTGATGTTGGTTGTTTCTTTGCCTTAAAGTTTTGTTTGTTTTAAATTCTGATTTTTTAAAATCAGAATTTTTAATTTTACAAAACCAGAAAAGTTTGTATTTTTCTATGACAAAGATAATATTTTTCTTTAAACTTACCAGAGCTTCTTGACGCAGTCTTTGTTCAATCTCTGCCATTTCTTTACGATTTTGTTCTTCCAATTCTGCTTGCATTACTTTATTTATTTAAAAATTTAATTTAAAAATTTTTCTTTTATTTTTACCCCTGTCTTGTGCAAATCTTCTCACTTCATGTCTAAAGTCAACAATTTCCCCCGGATTCAAATCCCCACTTCTGTCAACATCCACCTTATCAAAAAAGCGTCTTATAAGCTAAAAATAATTTTTCAGATTTTTAAATTCAACAAAATAACCGTCGGTTCCAATTTATATCGATCTTTAACTAAACGTTCCAATTCATCCAAAGTTATTTGTTTATCTCTATTAGTGTCATAATCTCGAAAATGGTCAGAAACAAATTTAATAGATGTTAGTCTAACAAGACGAACAAAATCGGCTAATTCAACCTTTAAATTTAAATAAAAATTATTTTTTAAATTTCCCCAGAAAACTTTGTCAAGTAATCCATTTCTGTCTTGGTCGGCGATAGCAAAAAGACTATGTGTTTCTGCACCTAAAAATACAAAAGAAATACACAATAGGGTTTCTTTAAATTATACCGCTCATATCGTCTTCCCGACGAGCTCGCTGCTCGGCTTCTCCTTCGTTTATACTCTAAAAGAAAATATTTGTAGTCAGAATTAATTCAGAATATTTACTGAAGATCAAAATATCAGAACTCTTTTTTTAAATAAAATCAGAATTTTCTGACAAATAATTCAAAATTGGATCAGAATTTAGTCAGAAAAAATAAATCAGAATTTTAATTCTGATTTCTTTCTTCCCCGCACTCACCCCGTCACCATCCTCATCCATTTCCGGAAGCAACATCAACGCATTTTTGACTGCTCTGCCTCTAATTACCGAACGGAAACCAGCAAATTCAACAGCATCTAGTTGACCATCCTTTTATTTAATTTTTAAAATTAATTTTCTTATTCTAAGAAAAACTTCATTTTCATCTGCCTGGGCAAAAAAAGGTTCTAAAGTAGCCTCATCAAAGCCATAATGATCAAAAGCTATTTTCTTAGCTTCATCCATTGTTAAAGTCCCACTTCCATCTGTGTCCACTACTTTCAAAGCTTTTTTTGATGTTTCGACTGCTTTGGCTCGAACCTTTTTTAAATTTTATTTTTTAATTTTAAATACTTTTTTTCTACAAACAATTCTCTCAAAATCAGCAAATTCTGGTGCATTTAATTGTCCATCGTTATTATCATCCACACTAGCTTTAATTAATTTTTAGAAGAAAAAATATTTTCTTTTCAAAAAAAAATACCAAGCATTTCAACAACTTCCCCTGCTCCAATACCTTCTTGTTCAAATGCTATCATCTACAAAATTTTTATTTTTAAAGAGAAAATTTTTTTATATTTTTTTTTTAAATTGTAATGTTCCAATCAAAAAAATTAATTTCTTTAGATTAGACACTCTCCTAATCCAAATGATTTTTTAGTCTGGTTTTAGACAAATCTAATAGGACTGCTTACATTAAAACCCTTCACTAGGTCTTGTTTCGGTTAATCGTGTTTGTGCAACACTCCAACCTTTATCAAGACAAGGTGCCAGAGATAATTGAATTCGATTTCTATATTAAAGGTTAGAGGAAAACAAAACTGTTACAATAACATAAAAATTCTTAAAATTTGTTCAGAAAATTTTAATTGTTTTCTTCACGTTTCACAACATATACAAGTTTTAAGGTACTAAACAAAATCCAGATCATTTTAAAAAATAAATTAAAGCAAGCCTCTTATTTTTTCAAAAATAAAATAAAAACATACAGCAGCCTCTCTCATGTCGATATGCCCATCCTGGTCCCTATCAGCAGTCTACAAAAAATTATTTTATTTTAATCTTTAAAGAAAAACAAACTTTCATAATTTGTCTAGCTAACCGAATACTCATTCCTCGAACTCTCCTTCAAAATTTAAAAACAGATTGAAAATTAAATTCTCAAAAAACCTTCTCAATTTACTAAACAAAACAGCATCCATTTCATCCCCACTACTAGGTACCTTTAAATTAATTTTAAAATTCCGTCTCTTCCAATTTTCTAAATTTACCACTAAACGCCAAATACGTTCAACATCTCTATTACTAATTCCATATTCTCGAAGAATATAAGCTTTTGCTTCGTGTAAACTAAGCAATCCATTGTGGTCAGAATCAACATTCTTTAAGGGGAAATAAAAGGCTCGAATAATTACCCCTCTCAAATAATTTCCCCCTCTCAATTAATTACCCCGTCTAGCGAGAGGTTGAAACAATAATTACTCAGGGTAATTATTCAATCATATACGGTGAGTATTTTATTAGTAAAAGAATTCAACTCCTAATTTTTTGAAAAATTTCCAGAAATTAGGAATTATTCTATTTTCCGGAAATAAATTACTTTTGACTTTTACACAATATAATTTCCGGAACATAATTAATTCCATATTTTTCCGGAAACAATATTTTCTACATATCAGAATTTTATATTTTTCCGGAAAATACACATTCAATAATTATTTTTAATTACTTGTAAATAACGCAATGCAGCATTTTCCGCCTTAGCCAATACCAAAGGACGAATTTCATTAAATTCTAATTTTAATTTATTTCTTTATTTTAATTTTCTTTAAATTACCAATAGAAGAGAGAAACCCGTCTTTATTAAAATCAACATCACTAAATATTTTTTAAAATTAAATTAAAATTAATTTAACTTGAAAAGGTTTTCGACTACAGAAGAACTTAATCCGTGATGGACAAACTATTTTTAAAATATAATTTTTTAATCAGAATAAAAAAACAAACAGCAGCATATTGAACTTCATTTAAGGAAAGAGCCCCATCTCCATCCAAATCAACACTTTTATCAACCGAAGGAATGTGTGTTGGTGAATTAGTCGAAGAAGGAGAAGATGATGATGTTGAGGTTGAAAATGGGGAAGAAGATGTTTGTTGTAATTCACTTTCTGTTGTTTCTGTTGGTAATGTTGTTGTTAATTGTTCTGGTATTGTTGAGGTTATTGTTGTTGATGATGATTGTGCTCCTTCGGGAATAGGGGATGAGGAGGAAGATTCACTACCTAAACAAATTACATTTTTAAAAAAGCATCATTTTTCTATTAAAAAAGGAAAAATAAAATAATGTTGAGGAATAATCTTTTCCGCAAATTGTTTAATGTTTATCAAATAATTATTTGATTTCCGGAAAAAAGATAAATATTTCTGGAAAAATAAATACCATATTTACTCGATTAATTCCACTGAGGAATTATTTTTTCAACCTATCCGTGGCATGGGGAATTATTCAAGGGAGGGGAATTAATAGTAAATACGGTAAATTTCTGAAATATCCAAATATAAATATATCCTCTGGTAAAATATGTTTTTGAATTGTTTAATTTGTAAAAGATAATTTAAAAAATATTTTTTGTAGAACAAGTTTGGCGAAATAACAGGTATTCAAGGGAGGGGAATTATTTTTATTTATATTTTCCCACCATGTTCAACACCTTTACTTTCTGATTGAATATGAGATTGTTGTTGGTTAGTTTGTATTGGCTGTGGTAATTGACGATTTTGTTGTTCTGATGCAGACTAAAAATAAATAATTTTCTTTGTAATTAAATTTTTCTCAAACCGTTGCCAAAACAAATTGTCCATCTGGCATTCTAATTAAAGGTCCATTATTGGCAACAAATTGTGGTTGAGATGATTGATGTGGGTCTAAAGGGAGGAATGTAATCGAGGTAATTTAGGGGCAATAAAAGGGTCATTTTATATAACTGACCGTCCAATTGTTTTGTAACTTTTGGAACGAGTGCTTCTGCTGGGTAAATCTGTCCAGAAGTATTGTTGTGATTTCTAGCTATAATATATTAACCAAAAATAATTTTCAAAAATATTTCTAAAATTACCTTGTCTTTTATGATGAGATTGATTACTCCTTTTTAAATTTTTACCATCTAAAGGTAAACTTTCTGTAATTATTAATGTAAAGGCTAATAAATAATTAAAAATTAAGAAGACATTTCTTAACCGTTGTCGATTTAGCGGTGGCAGTGCCATCGCGAGAGAAAAACTGTAAAAAGTTGAAGTATTCAAGTTAGTTTAATTTAAAAAAGGTTGGACAATACAATTATTATTCTTATTGATATTCCGGAAAACAATGTAGTATTTTCCGGAAAATACCAACTCAAGACAGGGTTTACCTTATTTACAGGGTATTTGCCCTATTTTAACATTATCTCCTTATTTTTTCATATTTTCTGTTTACAATATTTTTATTTCCTGTAATATTCTTCAAATTTTCGGCATCTTGTAAATAAAAAAGGAAGAAAGCTGGCTTCATGGCCTTTTTAAAAATAATTCTGATTTATTTTCATTAAAAATAAATGGAAATGCTTTTCAAAACAAGATCTTCTTTAAAAGTAAAATGAACATTTGTTAAAGTTAATCACCCAAAATAATTAAATTTATAAAAAAAAGTCAATGAAATTAGCATTTAAGAAGAGTTAATTCCCGTTGAAAGTTGATTTATCTAAAAAACCCATATCCGTCACAAAAAAAAACAAAGTAATTGCGCACTTCTGCCAATCTTTTAATCGAATGTTTGGGAAGAATCAGTAGATAAATCGCCCCAAAAATAATTTAGTATCTATTCATGTCTCTCACCTCTTTTTTTTTCTAAATAAAAATAACCCGCCACCACTCCCCTTATAGAAATAACTAGATTTGGGTCATTCCAGTAATATAAAAGACACAAAATATGTTTAACGGCATAATCGAGAAAATAGCTAAAAATCAAGCAAGAAGATAAAGAAAAGGAGAAGCATTTTATTGTTAACTAAAGAATTTTATTTAAAAAAAAGAAAAGTTTTATTTGCTTATTAATTGATTAATTGCTTATTATTTGAATAAAAAAGATCAATTAAAGGATAAACTGAAAGGATTTTGAAAAATGGAAAATTTTGGGCAATGGGGAGGGGTTTGAACGGTTCCAAGAATTTTAGAGAGAAGTAAAAAAATACTCTTTAATTTGATAGTAATTTTAAATAAATTTCAAAAAAATTAAATTATAATCTTTCTGGGACCGCCCATATAAAGGAAAGTTTACAAGTTTACGAAGATAAAGACCGGATTAAAAAAAGAAAATAAAGGCAAGGTAGACAAAACAGAAATTAAAGTGTTAAATATAGGTAGATATATTATGTGTATTAAAAAAGAACAGATTTAAAATTTAAGTATAAAAACAGAAATTCATATGAAAAAAACAGATAATATTATTAGAAATTAAAAACTACCATATATTATTAAAAATATTATACATTAAGAGAGAATGCCTTTAATTTAACCCGCAAAAATTAGGAAGAATCAGAAAATAAATTTCCATAAAAATGTTAGAGTTCCAATTTTCAAAGATTTAATAATTTTCACGTCTCCATTTATCGAAACAAAAGGACTGTCAGATTATTATCGAAAGATTGTTATTATTATCCCAAGACTGTCAGATCCATTTCAGTCCGAACTCTAATAGTTATTTGAATTTTATTAAGTCATTAAATTGCATTGTTTCCCTCCAAACCAGAAAATAAAAATTAAGTTTAAAAAGAAAAGAAAAAATCACAAAATGTCAGCAAGAGATTTTATGGACACAATGGAGGGAAACCCGGAAAATATAAAAATTAGAGGTTTTAATTACTATCCAGCCAAAGCAGTCAAATTATTCTGATTTGAGGCTTCATTTTCCTGGTGAGGTTTTTGTAACTTTTCTGGGTCAATAACTAACTCCTTTGCTTTATCATACCATTTTTGTTCATCTTTATGAATTTGTTCAGTTTTTATTCGGACAAAATCATCAGCCTTTCCATAGTTTGGAGGATTGGCATTCTGTTTATTAATTTAAACAAATTCTTTAAATAAAAATTAACCGGATCATAACCGAGCACTTTAAGCATCGGTGCTATTTCATCCATTTGATTAACCACATCTTCAGGGATTTTTCCAACCCATTTTGAAAGAGCGTCTAAAGAATAATTCTTTAAAAAAGGAAAAGAAAAGGCATTTAAATTATAGACCCGTTAATTTTTCACGAACGGTTAATTTTTGCCTGTGACGGCTCAAAAAGGGAATTTTAAGGACCTTTGAGTTGCCACATGCAAAAATTAACTAGTTGTGAACAACAATAATCTAAACTTTAGGGATTCTTAAAAACGAGACGAGAAGATTTTTCATTTCAAAAAAATTAAATGGGCAATTTTTAAAAATCAAAAAGTTTCTTAAAAAAATAATCGAACCTAAATTTACTGGTTTAATTACTTGATCTGTACTTCTCTCAGTTTTAGAAAGGGAAATTTTATTTCCAATAAACATTTCATGATGTAAAACAGACATATTCCAAGGTAAATTTAAAAAGTCCAAAATTTTACGCATTTCTTGTTCAGGATGTAAAACAAGCTTTTTAAATTTAATAATTAAAATCTTATTTTTGTTAAGAAAAACCTGTTCATAATAAACTTTTAAACATTTTTCTTCTCCAACCTGCTTGCATTGTTCATTCATTACCTTTAAGTTTTAGAAAAACTACATGAAAAAATTCAAAATTAATTTTAAAATAAAAAATAGCGTAGGAATCAGGTCCGTAACCAAAATTTTTTCAAGGGGAGGGAGGATCGTTTATTAGAAATTCGCCCTTTTAATTCCAGAAATATTACAGGGTCAATTTAACACTAATTTCCCATACTTTTAAGAAGCCAATACTTTAAGGACAAGTTAAGAGGCCCTAAAACTCAATCAAGTCCCATTATTCATTTTCTAATTATTTTTAGATTAAATTCCAAAAAAATATTTTTCAAAAAAATATATTTTAAAAAAAAACCTCAATTCCAGCATTCCATTTCTGTAAACATTGTTTAAAATCATTTAAATCAAATCCAGTAATTGTAATTTTTCTTGAAATTATTGAATGAACAGTTGCCCTTCCATCCCTTATCATAAAAATAAATTTTGCTTTTGGAAATAATTCAGACAGATAAACTGTTGATTTTAATGTAAATGGGTCTTTATTGCATAAACGAGGTGCTGGGTCACCATGTCCAATTATTACATTTACAATAAATGAAGAAATTGCTGAATTGATTACTTTTTCGTTTACACCGGCTTCCTTAAAATTTTAAGAAAATTATTGATTATGCAAAAGGCTTTTTATTTTACGAAAAATCACGTGAAGTAGGGGAAATAAAGTAGTTAACGAGTCAATTTAGAAAAATTTGAGAAACTTACAATTAGTTATGGCTAGTACTATTTACATAAAGAAAAGAAAATACTTTTCCGTTCTGCCACACCCCCCAAAAGTGGAAATAATTCAGATAGATAATCGTATAAAAGTACCAAAAAGTTAAAGTTAGAATAAAAAATACTTGAAGTCTCCTCCATTCTTTTTCACTCTTTTTCCATTGAGCACGCAAAGCCAATACACGGGGAATTATTCGAGTTTCCTCTCCACTAAAATTTAAATTAAAGATAATAAAAATATATAACCAAACCATCTAACATCTGGGTGAGCATCTAACATTGCACGCATTAATGTTGTTCCAGATCTAAAAATTTTAAAATACGTATGAAAAATTTTGAATTGAATTTTTTAGTTTTAAATTGGAAATAAAATACACTTTTGCAAAACCTAAAATTAATGAGTCTATAGTTCCAAGGGATTGGTTCAGGTTTTAACACCAAATCTTAAGCCGTTTTTCTCAGCTACTCTTCCCTCCGTGTATCGCTTAGACTATGTGTGGAATTTTTGGTTTGTTATGCGCCGATTTTTAAAATCCAAGACGCATAACAAACCAAAAAATGGTGAAATGTTATGAGTTAAACAACCATTTTTTGGCTTGTTAATTTTTTAAATTTTATTAAAAATTGGAAAAAAACCTTGGAATTCCACCAATAAAAATAAATGGATTCAAATAAGCCAATTCATCTATTTTATTGTAATCAACAGAAGATTTAATAGGATTGGAAATAATAGTTCTTTCAAAATAATTAAAACAATTAAAGGAATTTAGCCAAAGAAGGCAAAAAATAACAAAAATAGTCAACGAACAAAAAAGGAAAAGTCTCCGTCTTTGCCGTTGGAGCATATTTCCTCTGCGGCTTGAAAGAAAAATTTTAGTTTAAAAAAAATAATGAAAAAATATCAGCAAAAAATAAAATTTTTTAAATAATGAAAGTCAAAAATAGAATATAATTTATTGATTTTTTAAAAAATTACAATATCAAATTTGCTCAAAAGCGAAAGTAAAAGAATTTCCCCCGGAAGCCGTTGATCCATCTTATATCCAATTTTGAAGAAAAGACTGTGCTGTGCCTACTTGAATGATTCTAACCGTGAAAGGTTTTGTAACGAAAACGACCTGTTCTGTGACTGTTGAATTAGAATCAAACAATATGAATATTGCCTTGTTCTCACAGTTGCTTATTATAAACCACATAAAGATTCTTTCGGCGTTCTATGCCATCAGTTTCAAAATGTTTACAACTGAATGGCGTTCCTCGGGAATATTCTTCCAAACAATTCCTCTGGAATATTCTTCTAACCATCTTTAATTTAAAAATGGTATAAATTTAAAAAGAATATTACTGATTGGAGCATTAGTTTTAAAAAGGAAACTGTGAGAACAAAGCAATATTCAAATCGTTTGATTCTAATTCAACAGTCACAGACCAGGACGTATTCGTCTCAAAAACTTCCACAGTTAGAATACATTCAAGTAGGCCCAGTGTTCCCCTGAAATTGGATTGGCCGTCGGTAAGGGGGAAATTTTATAAAAAAATACAATTGTCTCAGGAAACAAACATTTTAAATTTAAAAACTCAATTAATCTTCATTCTCCGAATCAGATAAAAATAATCCATAATCCAAATCATCAGCGGTCTGTTGATTGGTATCATCCTTTAAAATATTTTAAATTAAATTTTCTTTATTTGTTTAGCTTACATTATTCCCAGAATTATTCTTTAATTCCTGTGGTGTTTCATTATCGGCCCTTTCCATTTCATCAATTGAAACTACTTCCCATCTGACATTTACTGCGTCCAAATCAGATCTAATAAAAGTAATAGGTAAAAATAAAATTTTAAACAGTAAAAGAAAAGGAAAAATAAAATCGATTCCCCTTGCCTTTCCATGCATTTTCAAAGTATTTTTGGATGCAACAAAAATATGCAGGCAAATATTTCAAATATGCACAAAAATTGTTCCCAACATTGACTTATTGGGAACAGGAGAGGAAAGCTATGTAGTCCCAAAATCTTTTAAAAAATTCCAAACCTCAAAAGTCTTTTCAATTCCCTCTCAACATCAGAAGCATCCATATATTTCTTTCTCTTGACTTTTCTAAATCTTTTGCGTTGTGCAAACCTCATAGGCGGGCAGATACCATGCGGCCATTCTCTCCTCTCGTGTTTCTCGTTAACAGGAAGTTCAGTCTTTGATCCTTTCTTCCTTTCACCTGGAGGTGAACAAACAATAATTTGGGATACATCAGCTACTTTATATACTGTCTTTTTATCGAGCGTTTTCATTACCTAAAATAAACAAAATTTAGTTAGTAAAGTTGAGTTAAACATTAAAAATTAATAAATTCTAAAGAATAAATGGGAAAATTTTTGGTAAATAAATAGTTTGTTAAACTATAAATAATTTTTAACTAACTAATATTATAAAAATTGAAGAATGTCAGAATTTGGAGAGATCTCAATAATTGCTAATGCAAAATAATAAAAAGTGATTGGAATTTGTAACTATTTTGAACTACCGACTAAACAAAAATATTTAAAAAAAAACCTCAGAAATACAAGGCAAATCATATAAAGAAAAATCCATTTCATATTTTCCAAAATTTAAAGTTCCAGACCGCAAATTTTGATTAAAACTTATATTCATTTTTGTTTGGCTAATATGATGAGCATCTTCATCCAAATAATCTTTTACTTTATTTGCTATTTCTGGAGGAAATCGAATAATTAAATGATTTTCCCATTCTAAATTTGTTGAAGAAAAATCATTTTCTACTCGTTTTGTTTGAATTCTTTGTGATGTTGCTGCTGCTGCACTGTTCGCTTCAATCATTTTTTAGACAACTAAAAAAAAAGAATAAAAGGGAAAATTAGCGTGAATAAATTAATTAAATTAAATATAGAAAGAATAATTGGATTTTTTGATAAAAAACAAGAAAGCTAATGGATTTTTAATCAATCATTAGAAAGATGAGGATTAGCTTATAGAGACTCTGTTGTCCTCGAAAATCTCCGGTTAAGGACGATTCAGTATCCGCGGATTCAGTATATGGCCATAACTTTCCTTATATTCGACCGATTCGAATAATTTTCATATCATTCGAAAGCTCTCGAGATTCTCATCTTTTTGACAATTGGCTCGATCAGATCTGATGATCTCGAAAAAAGTTACAACGTGAAAACCGATTTTTTATGCCTGTGACGTCGTTTATCAGTGATAACTTTTTGTAGAGTGATAAAATCAGGTCAGTCTAATTATGAAAAAGATGCAGCACCCCGAGACCTATCAAATCGTATATAATAATTCCTAAAATATTGATTGAACAAAAAGTTATGGCCAAAAAGCCCAAATACTGAATCGTCTCCTACCCATACTCTAGTGGGAGTACGGCCCACTTTGTCGCGACCTTTTTGTTGCAGGCTACTTTGTTGCAAAGGTTAAAAATTTTTTAAAATTTTTATGCTTTGTTGGATTGGGTAAATCAGTAACTTCAACAGTTTTTCAGATTTTTAAATGAATTTATTCCATTTAAAACAACAATTTAAATTTTGTTGTCGACATGTTTCAAATTATTATTTTCGTCCACAACCTCGTCCTTACAAAAGAAGAGTTTATGAATCAGCTTTAGCTCCAGTATTACCAAAACAATTGGAGGAAGAAATTAAACAATTGAATAATCCATATAATATTTATGCAACATCTTCTCCACAAAAAGAATTTTTTGGTGAAAATGAGGTTTTTTTAATTAAATTAAATTCTTGGTGGTATAATTTTGTACGGACCGTCTTATAATGCCAAGAGCTACATATTTTGACTTAAAATTTTTTATATTTTTAAATTGGGCAGTAATTTGAAAATTTTTTGAAAAAAACCAATTCCCCGACATTTGTTGACAGGGGTACAACCTTACAGGAAATCAAAAAATAATTTTTTATTAATTTTTAGTTCAGTTTGTACGAATTAGCTTTAATTGAGAAATTAAATAAATGGATTAAAACTGAAGGTTTTAGATTAATGGCTATTTGTCATACAAATTTTGTCAAAGAAGATGTTCTTTGGCTAGCTAAAAATAAGTTGGTTTATTTTTTAAATAATTTCCTTTTGTTTTATTCTTAAATTAGAAAAGTTAAAATTTCCGTATTTTAATTTCTACACTCGAAAGAATTTTAAAATTAATTTTTGTCCTTTTTTAAATCTCAATATGTCAAAGGCATTACAGGGACGCAAATTGTTTAATTTAATCAAGCATTACCTTAATTGGTGTAATTTAACTTTTCTTCGTTGACAGAAAACTTTTTTTTATTTTTTTCAGATTTCGTTTAGAAGGAATTGAATTTTGTGATTATCCAAGTAAAATACTCAAAAAAGTTTTTGAAAATTCTCCCTATCAAAATCTCAGCAATTTTTTGATTGATGAATGTACTTGTCCACTTTTTGGGAAAGAAGCTGAAAATATTAGTGTTTTGTTTAATCAATGTTCACAATATTCTTGGATATTTCCTATTGGTTAGTTTTTTGAAGTTTTAAATAATTAAATGTCCGCAAACTACAAACGGGAATAAATTTCCAACTGTTTTTCCTTCTAATTTTCATTCAAGTAAAATTAAAAATTATATTTATGCCAAATTTTGGGACTTTGGAGGGCTATATCTTGTCTAGATCAAAAAACGGGCAAAAACGGCAAAAATTCCTTCCCTAAAAGGGCACATTCTTTATTGAATGAACCCGGTCTCGACCATTTTTAGGTCGGACACCTCGCAACCTTTCCTTGTTAAAATAATAAAAGATAAATTTTCAAAATCCTCAAAATTAAATTTTAAAAATTTGCGGACTTTCAACCCCCAAAAAAATATTTTAAATTCTTATCTTTATTCCAGTTGTTACATTCGATGAAAAAATTTTATCATTAGAACAAACAAAAGAAATAACAGAATATGGCACTTTAAATAATGCTAGAACACAAACAGTTTTACTTTTAAATAATTTTATTAGCCAATTATCAACTTCATTAAATACAATTTCTTGTCAAATTCCTCAAATATTAGATGCACATTTGGTGGCTTCTAAAGAAAATAAAAAAGAAGAAAAAACATCGGATAATTCTAAAAATTCTTCTATGGTTGTTTAATTTTTATTTTTTTTGTTGACTTGAAAAATAAAAAAAGGTACCTTTGTATAATTTCTTAATCACCAAAATAACAGATATATTTTAAAATTAACAAAAAAAAATTTGATAAAAATTATCTTTTCTAATAATTAAATTAATCCGGCGATATCCCTCTTAATCTACTCAAATCCCCTAAAATAATATCCAAAATTTGTGGCAATATTTTTGACCTCGAGTGTATCTTCTGTAATGTAGGGAAATTTAGATTCGCATGATAATATGAAAATTTTAAATTGTGATTGTGAATAAAAATTTTTTTTCGTTTTTCCTCCGCTTCCGCCTTCCGCAGAATTCCGCCTTTTTTGGCCTTTCCGCATACGCCTTCCATATGCCGCTTTTTTCGCTTTTTAAAATTCAAAATTGTCAATCCCTGATCCTTAAAATGATTAAGTTCATTTTAAGTTGTTATATCGAGATTTGACCGTACATTTATTTATTAGTTAATTAAAAATAATTTTTTAAATATAAAAATTTATTTAATTTGTATATTCTACTACATATATAATTGTATAAATTTTAAAATTAACAAAAAAATTTTTGACAAGAAAATTATTCTTTCTAATAATTAAATTCATTTTTTAAATATAAACCAATATTAATTGCTCCATATTGAATTATTCTTTTTTCTTTAAAAACATTATAGCTAAAAAGAATATTTGGTTAATAAGTGAAGATTACTGGCCCTTAGAAAAAAAAAGGTAAAAAGGGATTCATACATACACTGGATTCATACACTGGAAAGTTTATACGTTTTTTGTAGATATTAGGAGGGGTTTAGAGGAATATATGTGATATTAGATTATTTGGATAGATATGTGGAAATAGTATATAGGTAATGGTATCAGTAGACCTTTCGAGAACTCGGCCATTTAATTTAACCCTCTCTTAATACTTCATATACCCGCGATATCTCCTTTCCTCTTAATTTGCTCATACTTCTCTCAATCCTTATAAGCCCATAATCCTTCTTTTCCTTTAATCCCCATTGTTCACTTCACTCTCTTAATACACTAAAAAAATTATTGGCTATTCTTTATTTCTACTCCTATATTTTTTAGGTGGAGCTGTATTAGAGGTGGGGCTCTAATTGAGGGTGGGGCTCTATTTTTCAACTATTCTTCAAAGTGGGGCTGTATTAGAGGGGGGGGGGGGAGTATTAAAATTTGTTAAATACATATGTAATGATCTCGGTTCCAGGAAAAGATATGGGTCTAGTTCTTTTTTATTTTTTCATAACTTATAATAATATATCTTTGCTAGAATTTTTGTAGATTTTTCCTAAACTTGGAAATATCTTTTTTGAAACGTGGACTTATAATTTTGTGGAGGCCGAAATTGCAAATTTTGGTCTAAAAATTTTTTAAATAAAAAATCAGCCAAAAACTATTCACATCTTGTTAGTTAGTTATTCACTAAAAGGTGTGTTTCTAAATTTTCAGAAAATTTGGATCACTGGAAGTCAAAAAATCCCGAAAAAAGGGGTGGACTTATAATTATGTGGAGCAGTGTATGTAAATCTTTTCATATCCAAACTTCTCTAAATTTATATAGAAATTGGTTGAAAACCAAAAAATTGTAATACTAAACAACACATTACCAACTCCACTCTCCTCTTTCTTTTAATTAAAATAATTAAACCCACTTCTCAACTAAAAATTTAAAATAGACAGGAGGGTTTAAAAAAATAAACAGTTTGTTTTGCCCTGAAATAATTTCCTTTTGTTCTTCTATATTGTTTGAAAATGTTCCAAATATATAATCAAAATATAAATATAATCCAAAAATAAATAATTGTGAAGTAATTTGTTGTATATTTTCTTTAAAAAAGGAATTGTTATAAACATTAAAGCTTTTAAAATAGCTAGTCCGAGTCTAAGGATGGCGGTTCTTGGGAAAGCTCCGGATATCCGGAACCGGTATCCGAACCGAAAATTTCTGGATATCCGAGGTTTTTTCGGTTCCGGATAACCGGAACCGCCACAACCTTATCCGAGTCTAGTATCTAGAATAATGCAAGGGAGAAGAAGTAAGGAAAAATGAGATAATAAACAGGAATTTAAAATCCATTAAAATATCGCTCTAGCAGCTAAATTGTTAAAGCTAATTTTTAAAGACTAATTTTTAAATTAAAAACCCTCTCTTATTTAAAAAAAGGAATAATTTTTATTTACTTATCAATTTAAATTCTTTCTCCAGATTATCCAAAATATTAATTATTTCTTCAAGATTATTTAACATTTTTAAAGAAACATTTTCCTTTTTCAATTTCTCAATAAAAGCTAATCTTTTTTCTTTATTCATTAAATATTTTGTTTCCTCAAAAAGTAAATTATAATCTTTTATCGTTTCAACATCTAAATCCATAAATTCTATTAAATTATCCACGAAAACTTTTGCCTCTTTCTTGCTGAATGCTAAAAATAATTTTGAGATTTTACAGTTTAAATTAGGGTAGCCCCCGAGCCTTCAGGGCCGGGTCGAGGTTTCGGGGGAAGAGGTGCTACTCTAGTTTAAATGTGTGCCTTTAAAGGATCCCAAAATTCAGGACAGTTAATTTCCAACCCTTTATTTCACCATTAAATGATTGCTTTTATTTTTGTTTTATTGCTTGTTTCATATGCCAAATTTCGTCAACAACTTTTACAAACAAATTTTTGTTTTTTGAAAAGTTTGTCTATTTTGAGTTAATGAAAATTACCTATTTTATTCAGTACAAACAATTTAGGGTTTAATTTATTTAAATTTAAAAAATTAAAAACAAACGTTTTTCCCTATTTGAATCAAATCCATTTATTTTTTTAGCCTTTGGTATTAATTTATTTTTGGAAGAATTTACAGAAATTATTGAAAATAAGTTATTAACTTAAAAATAATTACTATTTTAGTATTTAAAGGTTGTCCTGTTAAATTAAAATTGTTTTGGTTTCGTTTAGGATCAAACCGCCCCCCCCCCCTTCAAACCACTCCCCTCCTCCCCTTTATCTTCCTTAAGTTGAAAATGTCCTATCGCTAATTTAATTATTTTTAAAAACATATTTTATTTGTTTCAATTCCTCCAAAAGAAAAATTATTTTTATTTTGATTTAAAGGAAAAAATAATTTTTTGTTTTCAAATTGTTGGCTTTTGTAGGGAATTGGGGGAACTGAAAATTTTAAAATTTTAATTTTGTTAAAATTAATTAACAGACATTTTGGTGAAGGAAGATTAATACTTGTAATTATCGAATTAACAAAAATAAAAATATTTAATAAAAAAAGAAGAAGAAAATAATTAAATAACATTTTTTAAAATTATTTTTAAATCTTATGGAGAGATTTAGCTAAATATACTAGCTCTTTAAATAAACATTTAAATATTAAAATAATTTAAATAAATGTCTAGCTAAATATTGACTAAAAATAAACATCTTTTTATTTTGTAATTGCACTTTTCTCTTTGATTTTGTAAAATAAGACTGATGTAATAGAGAAATGTACTTTTCAGCTATCTTTAAATTACGAAATAAAAATTCTAAATAATTTTCAAAAACGACTCTTTTAACTTTCTGGATAATGAATTTAAAAAAATAATAAAAAAGGCGATAGATGAAACATCAAAAGGTGAAATAAATGTAACGAGAAATCT